AAAGAAACAGAAAACAAACGAGACAAACGCGGCGAGTGGAAGATAAAAGAGAGAATACGATATACAATGAGCAACCGGGGCAAAATCGGCGTCGCCCCGTCGACGTTCGGCGAAGGCTTTGCGAGCGAAAAATGAACCATGTCGGGAGAATATGGCTAGTGTAGACAGTCTGTGCAACCGATATTGAGGTAATTTTCGAATATTTTTTATTATACCGAAAAAACAACCGGGGCATTGCCCCGGTTGGCCCTATTGACGCGCCGCCACTGACAGAACATAAACAAAGGATCGCCAAAGTGTAGCAAACTGCAACAGGAATAACTGAACTTAATTCTCACAACAATTGCCATAACAGTAAATGAGTGAAGTCTTCTTATTTTATTTCAGAGCAACTCGAAAATAACAAAGCCAAACAGTTATAGATGACATGGTTTGTAAAAGTTGATGTTTTTTGTTTTATTGTGATGGTATGCACGACATTTAATCCTGTCGCAACTTTCAACAGTGCATACACGTCAGATTTTTGGCTACCCGTGTTGCCACCTTGCGGCGGTGTTTCACTAGAGTTCACATAAACATTCAAACTCAAGAAATTTATAGCACGATCCAAAATTCCAGGAAACTTGAATTCCAGATATATTATATTCTTAAATGCAGTGTTATTATTTTAATATATAATTGTTTTATCTGTACTTCCATTCCCAAGAACATTAGTAGCCTAACAAGACAGTTACAATAGTATTCTTGATCACCACAAGTAATAGATTTCATTGGTGCTTTAATAAGAAAAGTATTCCCTCATTCATTAGCTTTGCGCAGTGGCAGTATCGTAACCAATGAGGTTTATCCGAGGTGCGATTATTGCTAGTTGAAAACTATTACCAATACCTCGCCCTGGTGATGCAATCGCATCGCCTGCGGCAATTTCTGAAGGGTTCTGTGGAACCTATCCTCTCGCGGAATGAAATGACAAAACAATAAATTAGATGATGTCCATGGTTTGGAAAATTTGTGTAGGCTTACAAATATATATGGCTGATCAGTTCCGACAACTCATCCTGTCGCAACTTTCATCAGTGCATACACGTCAGATTATTGGCTTTTCGCGTTGCCACATTGCGGCGGTGTTTCGTTAGAGTTCTCATATACAATTTAACTCAAGAAATTTATAGCACGATTCAAAATTCTAAGTAACGTACATAAGTCGAAACAGCCAACAGCAAGAGAACATAATTCCAAACGTGTTTATTTTTTTATTCCAGATTAAATCTATTCCTGAATGAAGTGTTAGTATTTTAACAATTGCTTTATCTGTACTTCCACTCCCAGGAACATTAGTTAGCCTAACAAGACAGTTAGGATAGTATTCTTAGTCACCACAAGTAATAGATTTTATTGGTACTTTTATAAGTAAAGTTTTCTCACTCTTATCAGCTTTGCGCAGTGGCAGTATCGTAACCAATAAGGTTTATCCGAGGTGCGAATATTGCTAGTTGAAAACTATTACCAATACCCCGCCTTGGTGATGCAATCGCATCGCCTGTGGCAATTTCTGAAGTGTTCTGTGGAACCTATCCTCTAGCCCTAGCGGAATGAAAATGAAATGACAAAACGGTAAATTAGATGATATTCGTGGTTTGGAAAATTTGTGTAGGCTTACAAATATATGGCTGATCAGTTCCGACAACTCATCCTGTCGCAACTTTCAACAGTGCATACACGTCAGATTATTGGCTTTTCGCGTTGCCACATTGCGGCGGTGTTTCGTTAAAGTTCTCTTGTACATATTAACTCAAGAAATTTATAGCACGATCCAAAATTTTAAGGAACCTACATAATGCGAAACAGCCAGCAGCAAGAGAACATAATTCCAAACGTGTTTATTTTTTTTATTCCATATATATTCTATTCTTAAATGCAGTGTTATTATTTTAATAATTGCTTTATCTGTACTTCCATTCCAAGGAACATTAGTTAGCCTAATAAGACAGTTAGGATAGTATTCTTAGTCACCACAAGTAATAGATTTTATTGGTACTTTAATAAGAAAATTTTTCTCTCATTCATTAGCTTTGCGCAGTGGCAGTATCGTAACCAATGAGGTTTATCCGAGGTGCGATTATTGCTAGTTGAAAACTATTACCAATACCCCGCCCTGGTGATGCAATCCCATTGCCTGTGGCAATTTCTGAAGGGTTCTGTGGAACCTATCCTCTCGCGAAATGAGAATTAGATGATGTCCATGGTTTGGAAAATTTGTGTAGGCCCACAAATATATGGCTGATCAGTTCCGACAACTCATCCTGTCGCAACTTTCAACAGAGCATACACGTCAGATTATTGGCTTCTCGCGTTGCCACCTTGCGGGGGGTGTTTCGTTAGAGTTCTCTTGTACAATTTAGAGATGTTCGATACCACTTTTGTCGCCGATACCGATACCAGCTCAAAACGCCGATACCGATACTACAAAAAGGCCGATATTCCGATACCGATACTATGTAATTATTACTTAATTAGGTATGCTGTGTAGGGCAGACGGGTTAAAACAATGGTCTTTAAGCGTTGTTCATAGTACACATTATTTCAGATCGAAAAAAAAGATATATATATCACATAATACGAAATTAATGTTTGGTATCCATATGCGGTAACTGATTAAGCTACATTGTACAGTAACGCTAGTAATCTCGGTGTTCAATTAGAAAACTCACAAGCCGGGATGCCCAATTCGAATTTAATGTTAATATCGCGAGCTTCGAATATCGTTATTCGTGTTTAGAAGAATATCGAATATCACCCACACATTTTAGCGCCGCCGCCCTATGTTCAAATTAAAAGCATTTTACAAATATTTAATTTAGTGGCTAATCGTAATCGTCGACGCAATAAGTCAAAGCCAACATGAAAGAATATCAATCAGCACCGACAAAAAGAAGGCCCACCGATAACCGTTGAGGATGTTTTTTTACTTCACTATTTTATAATATTTACAATTGCTATCCTATATTTTGAGACAGTCTAGGGCTAGGCGGCCAAGTCAATATATCTATAAAGAAATCGTGTAGTTAAGCAGAATTAAAATTAATACCTGTGTAGTGGGATAATAGTGTCGGAATTTAGTTTATCGTTGTCGACGGACTAAATGACACTCGTACTTGACGACAAACAGCCAGAATTTATACCCGTGCCAAAAGTCCATGTGCCGTTAATAAGGAAGGACCCCAATTCCACTGTATGATTTAAAACTGGGCGCCTAGTTGCTTTTTGTTATGTGCTGTGTTGATATATTTCTTCATAAAAACTATGTAATATTAAAAATGTCAATATAAAAATTTGACAGCGAAAATAGCCAAATTAGTTGAGCTAGTTTAGCTGATAAATAGCTAGAAAACACGTGAATCCTATTCTCTCGCAGGAGTGGGGACATGTATGGCTCATAGCTCACGATCTCTCCAGACAAAAATAAATTAAAAAGTAGTATTCCAACTGATTTTAAAATATTCTGGACCATATCAAAAAGGTAAATATATCGGTAATATCGGCCTTAATCTAACCGATACCGATACATAGCCGATACCGAAAAATTGCCGATACCGATACATCGGTACATCTCTAGTACAATTCAACTCAAGAAGCATAGTACGATCCAAATTCCAAAGAACTTACAGAATGCAAAACAGCTAGCAGCAAGAAAACATAATTCCAAACGTGTTTATTTTTTTTATCCAGATATATTCTATTCCTAAATGCAGTATTCTTATTTTAATAATTGCTTTATCTGAACTTCCACTCCAAGGAACATTAGTTAGCCTAATAACACAGTTACGATAGTATTCTTAGTCACCACAAGTAATAGATTTTATTGGTACTTTAATAAGAAAAGTTTTCTCTCATTCATTAGCTTTGCGCAGTCGCAGTATCGTAACCGATGAGGTTCATCCGAGGTGCGATTATTGCTAGTTGAAAACTATTACCAATACCACGCCCAACTCATCCTGTCGCAACTTTCGTCAGTGCATACACGTCAGATTATTAGCTTTTCGCGTTGCCACATTGTGGCGGTGTTTCGCTAGAGTTCTCATATACATTTTAACTCAAGAAATTCATAGCACGATCCAGACAGAATTCCAAGGAACTTACAGAATGCGAAACAGCCAACAGGAAGAGAAAATAATTTCAAAACGTGTTTATTTTTTTTATTCCAGATATATTCTATTCTTGAAAGCAGTGTTAGTATTTAATAATTGCTTTATCTGTACTTCCACTCCAGGAACATTAGTTAGCCTAACAAGACAGTTACGATAGTATTCTTAGTCACCACAAATAATTGATTTCATTGGTACTTTAATAAGTAAAGTTTTCTCTCATTTATTAGCTTTACGCAGTGGCAGTATCGTAACTAATGAGGTTTATCCGAGGTGCGATTATTGTTAGTTGAAAACTATTACCAATACCCCGCCATGTGATGCAATCGCATCGCCTGTGGCAATTTCCGAAGGGTTCTGCAGGACCTATCCGATCAAACTGAAACGACAGAACAATAAATTAGATGATTTCCTGGTTTGGAAGATTTGTGTAGGCTTGCAAATATATGGCTGGTCAGTTCCGACAACTCATCCTGTCTCAACTTTCAACAGTGCGTACACGTCAGATTATTGGCTTCCAGTGTTTCTACCGTGCGGCGATGTTTCATTAGAATTCTCATGTACTCCCGTGTACATTTTCACTCAAAAAATTTATACCACGATCCAAAGTTCCAAGGAACTTACAGAATGCGAAACAGCCAGCAGCAAATGAACATAATTCCAAACGTGTTTTTTCTTTATTCCAGCTCTATTCTATTCTTGAACGCAGTGTTATTATTTCAAAAATTGCTTTATCTGTTCTTCCACACCCAGAAACATTGGTAGACTATCAAGACACATACGTTAGTATTCTGGGTCACCACAAGTAATAGATTTCATTAGTACTTTAATATGTATTTTTTTCGCCTTTTCGTCAGCTTTGCGCAGTGGCAGTATCGTAACCAATGAAGTTCATCCGAGGTGCGATTATTGCTAGTTGAAAACTATTACCAATGGACCTTTCCCCGAGCATTTACTTCCTTGTTTATTTCGAGACATTGGCTAATCAGCAAGATACAAAAAGTGACGTAACAATGCTCCCTTTTCGCATCCGCTCAGACACTATTCTCACTCAGACAGATTTTCAAGCGCGGTTGTAAACATTACCTCGTTTTCGCGTTTTTGAACTCTATTCGTTAGTTTTCTGTTGTGTTTCGGAAACTTAAATATGAATCAGATATTGCAATGATCAATCTGTCTTCCTCGGAGTTTTAATTTAATTGCAGTAATAAAAAATTAATGTAGAAATAGCTGTGATAGACTAGGCTAAAATTCTTTACCGGTACTTTTAAAAAACAGATTGTTGTATGCGATGAATCATATTGATGGTTTGTAACATATACCTCATTTTACAGGCGTCAACTCGCAAAAGCACTCTTAAAATAACCCCGAAAATTTTGCAATGGTAAAGTATGGGAGAAATTTTTCAGGGGTCAAAGGTCGGGGAAAGGTCCATACCCCGCCCTGGTGATGCAATCGCATCGCCTGTGGCAATTTCTGAAGGGTTCTGTGGAACCTATCCTCTCGCAAAATGAAATGACAAAACGATAAATTAGATGATGTCCATGGTTTGGGAAATTTGTGTAGGCCTACAAATATATGGCTGATCAGTTCCGACAACTCATCCTGTCGCAACTTTCAACAGTGCATACACGTCAGATTATTGGCTTTTCGCGTTGCCACATTGCGGCGGTGTTTGGTTAAAGTTCTCTTGTACATATTAACTCAAGAAATTTATAGCACGATCCAAAATTCCAAGGAACCTACATAATGCGAAACAGCCACCAGCAAGAGAACATAATTCCAAACGTGTTTATTTTGTTTTATTCCAGATATATTATATTCTTAAATGCAGTGTTATTATTTTAATAATTGCTTTATCTGTAGGCTACTTCCACTCCAAGGAACATTAGTTAGCCTAATAAGAAGTTACGATAGTATTCTTAGTCACCACAAGTAATAGATTTCATTAGTACTTTAATATGTGAAGTTTTCTCCTTTCCGTCAGCTTTGCGCAGTGGCAGTATCGTAACCAATGAGGTTCATCCGAGGTGCGATTATTGCTAGTTGAAAACTATTACCAATACCCCGCCCTGGTGATGCAATCGCATAGCCTGCGGCAATTTCTGAAGGGTTCTGTGGAACCTATCCTCTCGCGATATTAAATGACAAAAAAAAAATTCGATGATGTCCCAAATATACGTTTGGTTAGTTCCGACAACTCATCATGTCGCAACTTTCAACAGTGCGTACACGTCAGATTATTGGCTTCCAGTGTTGCTACCGTGCGGCGATGTTTCATTAGAATTCTCATGTACTCCCGTGTACATTTTAACTCAAAAAATTTATAGCACGATCCAAAGTTCCATATGATATCCATGGTTTGGAGAATCTGGGTAGGCTTTCAAATATACGTTTGGTGAGTTCCGACAACTCATCCTGTCGCAACTTTCAACAGTACACACACGTCAGATTATTAGCTTTTTGCGTTGCCACCTTGCGTGGGTGTTTCGTTAGAGTTCTCTTGTATAATTCAACTCAAGAAGCATAATACGATCCAAATTCCAAAGAACTTACAGAATGCAAAACAGCCAGCAGCAAGAAAACATAATTCCAAACGCGTTTATTTTTTTATTCCAGATATAATCTATTCCTAAATGCATTGTTATTATTTTAATATATAATTGTTTTATCTGTACTTCCATTCCCAGGAACATTAGTAGCCTAACAAGACAGTTACGATAGTATTCTTAATTACCACAAGTAATAGATTTTATTGGTTCTTTAATAAGTAAAGTTTTCTCTCATTCATTAGCTTTGCGCAGTGGCAGTGTCGTAACCAATGAGGATTATCCGAGGTGCGATTATTGATAGTTGAAAATTATTACCAATACCCCGCCCTGGTGATGTAATCGCATCACCTGAGACAATGTCTGAAGGGTTCAATACAATAAATTAAATGATGTCCACGGTTTGGAAAATTTTTGGAGGCTTCAAAATATTCGTTTGGTCAGTTCCGACAACTCATCCTGTCGCAACTTTCAACAGTGCATACACGTCAGATTATTGGCTTTTCGTTTTGCCACATTTCGACAGTGTTTCGTTAGAGTTCTCTTGTACATATTAACTCAAGAAATTTATAGCACGATCCAAAATTCTAAGAAACTTACAGAATGCGAAACAGCCAGAAGCAAGAGAACATAATTCCAAACGTGTTTATTTTTTTATTCCAGATATATTATATTCTTAAATGCAGTGTTGATATTTTAAAAATTGCTGTATCTGTACTTCAACTCCCAAGAACATTAGTAACCTAACAAGACAGTTACGTTAATTTTCTTAGTCACCACAAGTAATAGATTTCATTAGTACTTTAATAAGTAAAGTTTTTTTTCATTCATTAGCTTTGCGCAGTGGCAGTATCGTAACCAATGAGGATTATCCGAGGTGCGATTATTGCTAGTTGAAAACTATTACCAATACCCCGCCCTGGTGATGCAAACGCATCGCCTGCGGCAATTTCTGAAGGATTCTGTGGAACCTATCCTATTGCGAAATGAAATGACAAAACAATAAATTAGATGATGTCGGTGATGTAATCGCATCGCCTGTGGTAATTTCTAAAAGTTTCTGCGGAACCTATTCTTTTGCAACATACGTTGATGTCTATGGACCTTTCCCCGACATCAAAACATCCGTATTTTCAACCAATCACAAGCGAGCAGATGTAAACAAACATTCTCCGCTGAAAAGTCGCTCAGACAACTTTGGACGCGTTCCGCACATGTTGCTGACGGTTTAGGGAGATCTTTGTCCTTTTTTTCGCTTCTTGTTTTCTTCACAGGGCTGCGAGAATTAGAAAGCGGTAATACTGTATGTTACTTGTTGCAAATCACGTTCACGAAATCTATATATCGATACTAAAAGGATGTACCCGTTGCAGGCACCTTACATGTACGGTACCGTACAGGTCAACCAACTGCTATTTCGAACCAAAAAATAGTAGACAGTTATGCTGATGCAATCAAGGGTACCGGTAGCCTACCGTATGTCCATACGAAAGAATTCACCTTCGATACGATGTTGCATTTTTATTAAACAGAATCTACTGGTGAAGTATTTTGGTAGACTAACTCTTTGCATATGGTATTTGCCGGTCTGACAACCGGTACCGGTACGGTACCCCTGCCGTTCAAATGGAGTAAGATTTGTGCTATTTCCGAGCTACATATTGACTGCTTAAAAGCAATGAGGTGGATAAAGGAATGCAACAGGCCTCACAGTCAATTCAATCTAGGAAAAATCACCAGAAATGCATAAGTGTGTACCAAGGTAGGCCAACATTAATGTTGTTTTCGATACCTATGATATATTCAATATGTTAATTCTTATATGAAATAAATTTTCATACAAGCAATGCGTTCCATCATGCATTTTCATGGAGGCGATGGACCAACTGATGAATACCCTGACACTATATCAGATTCTTATTGCCCAAAAAAAAGGCACCAACAAATTGTGAGGTAAGGATTACTTATACCATAATTCAACTTTGCATCATAATTTAACAGGATCTGTCACCAGATACTTCATTTGATACAGAGACGTGCGAATCTGACGAAAGTGAGAAAGTATTGTCAGGGATCCAACCAGATCTGCCCCCAGACTCTTTAGTTGAAACTACCTCAAATGCCACTGAAGAAAATGACAGCCCTTTGTCAGACAGCAGAAAATTGTAAGCAAGCATCATCATCATCATTTTATTATGGTTCTCTGGCATAAAACAACACAAAAAGTCAGACGACAAAAGTACAGACGTACAGACGACAAAACTGTTGGATTTATTTTATTCCCTCCATATAGGTTGTTACCAATGCTGGGGAAGGCCTGTACACGCTTGGCTCAGCAGAAAATCTTTTATTCCCATCAATTTCATCTGTTGGATAGTCTTGGTTAGTCCAACAATATGGCAACAAGCACCAGTAGTTCTGATGAATATGTAACAATTTTTAAACCATGTTTATCACTACAACATTATTGGTCCTGTAATTTTATGTAGTATGTAATCAATTATAATACCTCAATAAACCTGTTGAATCTAATCTTTCAATAGTATATTTGCACCCATCTTACTGAGCTAATAAATCTGTGTTTTTTATGATACGACATAAACTTAAGTTCCTAGCATGTACAAATTGCATCAGAGACTTTGTGACTATCCAGCGACACCACTATTTGAAGATGATGTGGTGGCAGAGACTCCTGAACTTATCTATAGCACTTGGCTTTGAAGTCTAGCGTTGAACCAAGATTGACGACTGAACCATCATGAATGTATCTGAAAAAAATATTCATCTGTTCATAATTACAGATTGCTGTAGTTTGTGCAATGTTTTCAAGAATTTATTCAAAAGAATTTTTAAACTGCCCCTGCATTTCATTTATAGAAACAAATGAAACGCAGGGGCAGTTTGAAAAGTCTTTTGAATACTACTTACTGTGGTAATTTATATTGTATTATTGCATATTTTGGTATTCTCAACTTACCTGTTTTACTGGCAACAGTAATTTGTCTGCCGAGTCATACTCGACTTGCTTTTATCTGAGTCATGTTTTGTTGGTGCCTTATCATTTCATTGTGAACTGCTTTAAGGTGCTGCTAACGTTTAAGTTAATTAAAGCCTAGTATTTGTGGATGGATTTGTTTGTGAAGTAATAAACAGAACTTAGCTTACCACAATTTAATTAACTTAAACATGGATAGACTATTCAAGCCAGAATCGCTGGAGTTGGATCCAGAAGCTGCAACACGATACAAGCACTGGAAACTGAACTTTCAAAGTTTCTTGACAGAAGTAGAAGCAGCACAAACAGCTCTAGGGGAACAGGGACGACAAGTAAACAAACGTTTATTGATTTTTCGATATTTGTCCCACAAAAATTATGCACATGTAGAAGACTGTGAAACTTTTGAAGCTGTCATTTCAGAACTTGACAAACTTTATGTTAAACCAAAAAGCGATGTGTATGCCCGCCACCAATTGATGACTAGAAGCCAGATACCCGGAGAAACGCTTACCGAATTTTTATTAGCTTTGAAGACTTTAGCTAAAGAGTGTACATTTAAAGCTGTAACTTCAGACCAATACCGTGATGAGCTAACAAGAGATGCTTTTATCAATGGGTTATCAACTTCTTCGATTCGTGTTCGTCTACTCGAAAATGAAGATTTAACACTGAAAACAGCTTTTGAAAAAGCATCTATGTTAGACAGAGCACAGAAGCAATCAATATCATATGTACATGATTCTAGTATGGCAGCTACTGCAACTAAACAAGATGAGCAAAGAAGAATAAAACACTGTACTAAAGATGAATCATATAGTTCTGCTTCAGATGTTTCTTTTGAAGAATTTAAAAAAACTGACAATGTTGCAGTATCATACAAGACTAAAAGAAAGTTCTCTAGAAAATGCTTCTTTTGTGGGGGTAAGATTCATGTGCGTTTTAAATGTCCTGCCAAGGACTCTGAATGTTACAGTTGTGGAAAAATTGGTCATTTTGCCAAAATGTGCAAATCGAAGAACAGAAAAGCTGATAGTAAAAGTATGGTAGCTTCTTTTCGACATTGTTCTGCATTTACATCTGTTGCAGCCACAAGAAGTTTGAAAGCTGCTCTAGTTGAAGTGTTCATCAATAGTTCTAGGGCTGTTGCTCTTGTGGACTCTGGAGCAACAGATAGTCTCATAGATGCCAAATTGACTAGAAAACTTGGATTAAAGCTCAAATTAGAGCAATGTAAAATCTCAATGGCTTCTACAACTAAAATAGGCAGCTAAAATACATGGAAAGGTTACTGCTGATATGAAGTTGGGCAAGAATTATTATTCATCCCCAAATTTCAAAGTGATGGAAAATTTGTGTTCAGACTTAATTCTTTGTCAAGATTTCATGAAGTTGCACAGTAGTGTGACTTTTGTTATGAAGGGTGGAAATGAACACCTTCGTATTCATGGAGAAAATAACTATAAAACTGCTTGCGATGTAGCCGCTGCAAATATAGAACCTCCTCGCTTGTTTAGACATCTTTCTGATGACTGGAAACCAATAGCAACACCATCACGTCAATACAAAAAAGATGATTTAATTTTTATACGTAATGAAGTGCAAAAACTCTTGAAGGATGGTGTTATTGAACCTGCTGAAACGCCATGGCGAGCTCAAGTACTTGTAACTAAAGATGACCGACATCGAAAGAGGATGGTGATTGACTATTCCATGACAATAACCAAGTTTACTCTATTAGATGGCTTTCCTTTGCCAAGAATTGACAAAATGGTAAACGACATTTCTAAATTTAAGGTATTTAGCACTTTGGATCTGAAAAGCGCATATCACCAGTTACCTCTGGCTGAAGAAGACCGGCCATTCACTGGATTTGAAGCTGATGGTAACCTATATCAGTTTTGTAGAGTTCCTTTCGGTGTCACAAATGGAGTTTCAGCTTGCCAAAGGACGATCAGTGCTTTAATCCAGAAATATAATCTCAAGAGAGTTTTCGTTTACCTAGACAACATAACAATTTGTGGAATGACTGAGGAGGATCATGATATCAATTTGAATGCATTTTTAGAAGCTTCAATAAAGGAAAATTTTACATTCAATAGTGCCAAAACGGTCCTACGAGTAACCCAAATTGACTTATTGGGATATAGAGTTTCTTGTGGCAAAATCAAGCCTGATCCAGAGAGATTACAGCCATTATTAGAATTACCCATTCCGAGAACGAGCAAAGAATTAAAACGATGTGTTGGACTCTTCGCATACTATGCCAAATGGATTCGTGACTATTCATTGAAAATTGCCCCACTGATTAAAGACTGCCAATTGCCACTAAATGATGAAGCTACAACTGCATTCTTGAATTTGCGTAAGGACCTTGTTAATGCGTGTTTAAAAACAATATCAGATGATGAACCATTCACAGTTGAAACTGATGCATCTGATGTTGCTATTGCTGCTGTGTTGGCCCAGAATGGGTGTCCTGTCGCTTTCTTATCTCGTACACTGAGCCATAGTGAAAAGCGGTATCCAGCAATAGAGAAATGGGCTATGGCAATAATAGAGGCGACACGTAAATGGGGGCATTACTTACATGGACGCCATTTCAGATTGTTTACAGATCAAATAGCAATATCATTTATATTTGATCCTACCAGACGAAGCAAAATAAAGAATACTAAACTACAGCTGTGGCGACTCGAACTGGGTTCTTTTTTCTACACGATTTAGCACAAGCCAGGATCTGAAAATACTGCTGCCGATACTTTGTCTAGAATTTGTGCTTCTTTGTCCCACATTGATAAACTTAATAAAATACACAAGGAGTTGGGTCATCCTGGAATTACCAGACTGAATCATTTTATTAAAAGCCGAAATCTACCTTTTTCTCTTCGGGAAGTACGGAATACTTGTTCTAACTGTCGAATTTGTTCTGAGATAAAGCCCTGCTTTTTCAAGCCTGAAGAGAAACCTCTTATTAAGGCAATGCAGCCGTGGGAGCGACTGAGTGTTGAATTCAAAGGGCCATTGAAGGGTCCCAGACCTTATTTATTGGTTATCATAGATGAAATGAGTCGGTTTGCATTTCCCTGTGCTGACATGAAAAGCACTACGGTTTTAGAGTGTTTATCTCGATTGTTCTGCTTGTTTGGTTTTCCAAGTTTTGTGCATTCTGACAGAGGAGGATCTTTTTCATCTCATGAATTCAAGTCATTTTTGAATTTTCGTGGGGTTAGTACAAGCCGAACAACTCCATATCATCCTACTGGAAATGCACAATGTGAGAGAATGAACCAGACACTGAGGCGAACCGTAAAATTGATACTCAAAGATAAAGGACTCAAGGATCCTCAGTGGGAATGTGTACTACCTGAAGCCCCTCATGCTGTGCGCTCTCTTTTGTGCACTCCTGTTAATGCCACTCCTCATGCATTGTTTCTCAAGTTTCCCAGAAAATCAATGCTTGGAAAAGCGTTGCCAACATGGTTGGTCACACCAGGGCCCGTCTTGGTTCGAAAATTTGTTAGAAATAAAGATGATCCTTTATGTGAAGAAGTCGATTTACTAGATGCTAATCCAAACTTTGCTTCAATAAAATATAAAGATGGACGAGAGTCTACAGTATCAACGCAAGATCTAGCCCCTCTCGGATGCACTGATAAGGTATCACTTTATGATGAGAGTAATAAGTCAAAAGGGGTGGTAATTCCTATTGAACAAAATATTGAATCTGAAGAAGTTCAGAACACTGAGATCAAAAACCAACCTTCAACATTTGAAGCGGAAATGACCCAGGTACCTGTTCCAAGCAGCGTTGGAAGACCAACAAGAATGAGAAAACCTCCTGAAAGATATGGCGATTGGGAATATAATTGTTAAATTTTGAAGGGGGGTAGAGTGTGGTAATTTATATTGTATATTTTGGTATTCTCAACTTACCTGTTTACTGGCAATAGTAATTTGTCTGCCGAGTCATACTCGACTTGCTTTTATCTGAGTCGACTTGCTTTTATCTGAGTCATGTTTTGTTGGTGCTTCATCATTTCATTGTGAACTGCTTTAAGGTGCTGCTAACGTTTAAGTTAATTAAAGCCTAGTATTTGTGGATGGATTTGCTTGTGAAGTAATAAACAGAACTTAGGTTACCACACTTACTAAACCCACCAATTCAGTCCTAACTTGGACGGTACCGGTACCTATTAGTCTATGAACCATGGAATGTGGTGCCGGTAGTCACGCAGGTCTCCCAGTCCTCTGACATTCTTCAACCATATAAGTTTAAATATCATCTTTCAATGAAAAGTTTTGTATCCCTCTCCAGCTGGGGCAAAGAAAAGGAGAACCAAGTCATAGAAAAGCCATCTCTGAGTGATTCCATTTTTGCATGTTAAATAGGCTTTTGGAAATAAGTTAGGTACGATAACGGCAATGTGAAGGCGGAATACCGTTAATAATAAATCACTTGACAATATGTTATAACTTTAGAAGCACGAAAATACCGCCATCACCAGTGAAATGCCATTTGAAGGCCCTTTGAAACGAGCAACGCTTCACTCTATCGCCCTACACAAGCCTGAATATTTGCAATGTTTGTCTGAGCGACCAAAATCAAAACAATAAAGGTCAAAGGTCGGGGAAAGGTCCATTGTTATGAAAAATATTTTTAATTTTCCGAATCTATGTCAAACAAATTGAGACAACTTTACGAATTACTGCTGACAATGCACTCCGCAGTAAGTTATCCCTCCAACAAAATTATGACCGATTCACTGGCTGCCTTTATTGCCACCTTGCGGCGTTGTTTCAATAGAGTTCTCATGTACTCTTCATACTAACTCAAGAAAGGGTCAAGAAACTTTCAGAATGCGAAACAGCCAACGGCAAAAGAACATAATTCCAAACGTGTTTATTTTCTTATTCCAAATATATTATATTCCTGAATGCAGTGTTAATATTTTAAAATTACTTTATCTGTATTTCAACTCCCAAGAACATTAGTAGCCTAACACGACAGTTCGTTAATTTTCTTAGTCACCACAAGTAATGAATTTCATTGGTACTTTAATAAGTAAAGTTTTCTCTCGTTCATTAGCTTTGCGCAGTGGCAGTATCGCAACCAATGAGGTTTATCCGAGGTGCGATTATTGCAAGTTGAAAACTATTACCAATACCCCGCCCTGGTGATGCAATCGCATTACCTGTGGCAATTTCCGGAGGGTTCTGTGGAACATATCCTATTGCGAAATGAAGTGACAAAACAATAAACTAGATGATGTCCATGGTTTGGAAAATTTGTGTAGGCTTTCAAATATATGTTTGGTCAGTTCCGACATTTAATCCTGTCGCAACTTTCAACAGTGCATACACGTCAGATTATTGGCTTCCAGTGTTGCCACTTTGCGGCGGTGTTTCATTAGAGTTCTCTTGAACATTTTAACTCAAGAAATTTATAGCACAATCCAAAATTTCAGGAAACTTGAGGAATGCGAAACAGCCAGCGGCAAAATAACATAGGTCCCAACGTGTTTATTTTCTTATTCCAGATATATTATATTCTTAAACGCAGTGTTATTATTTCAAAATTGCTGTATCTGCACTTCAACTCCCAAGAACATTAGAAACCTAACAAGACAGGTACGTTAATTTTCTTAGTCACCAGAAGTAATAGATTTTATTGGTACTTTAATGAGTAAAGTTTTCTCTCATTCATTAGCTTTGCGCAGTGGCAGTATCGTAACCAATGATGATTATCCGAGGTGCGATTATTGTTAGTTGAAAACTATTACCAATACCCCGCACTGGTGATGCAATCGCATCGCCTTTGGCAATCTCTGAGGGGTTCTGTGGAACCTATCCTATTGCGAAATGAAACGACAAAACAATAAATTAGATGATGTCCATGGTTTGGAAAATTTGTGTAGGCTTTCAAATATATGTTTGGTGAGTTCCGACATTTAATCCTGTCGCAACTTTAAACAGTGCATACACGTCATTTTATTGGCTCCCGTGTTGCCATCTTGCGGCGGTTTTTCATTAGAATTCTCATGTACTCATCATACTAACTCAGGAAAGTCCCAAGAAACTTACAGAATGCGAAACAGCCAGCGGCAAAAAATCATAATTCCAAACGTGTTTGTTTATTTTCTTATTCCAGATATATTATATTCTTAAACGCAGTGTTATTATTTCAAAAATTGCTTTATCTGTTCTTCCACTTCCACGAACATTAGTAACCTATCAAAACACTTACGTTAATTTTCTTAGTCACCTCAAGTAA